GACCTCAGCGAAGACGGCCTACTCCGGCAGACTTCCGCCGAATCCGACCCCGTTTCATCCGTCCTGATCCTGTGCCGAATTTGAGGTCGTCGGGCTCGGTTGTCCTGCCATCGGGTGCTTAACAGCCCTTCTTCGCTGGTGCTGCCTCTGCCCTCTGCTGGCGGACCGGGGGAGGGGAGCGAAAGTCGGGGCCGCCCAAGAGGGGGGCGATGACTCGGGTTGTGGAAGTCGTTGAACGGAGAGGAAGCAGGCTTCCAAATTTGCCGGCCCAACGGGCCAGAGGCGTGCTAAGATCTCCGGTAACTACTTAACAAAATTTCTAGTTCGCGCGCGCGGGGCGGCCCCTGGGGGGCCCCGGGCGAGAAGTACCCCGGCCGATCCCCGGCTGGGTCCCGGGCGATCCCCAGGGGGGAGGCCATTTTTCGCCACCCCTCACGAGGATCGTGGCCTCCGAGGGGGGGGGCTGCAATCGACTACCCCCCCTCCCGCCCCAAGGGGCCCCAAGAGCCCCCCAAGAGGCCCAATACTCCGCCAGGGAGCCCCAAGACGCTCCCAAGAAGCCCCCAAGAAGCCCCCAAGACGGCCCCAAGAGGCTCCAAATAGCGCTCCAGGGCCGGCGGAATGAGCGAAGCGATTAAATAATTTCCAGATTTTAAGACATGTTTACACATTTTAAGCACATTTGAATGCAATGATAGGATTGTTCGAGTGTCCATGGTCATGGCATCCACAAGACTCAGGGGTGGAGTGGACATCACCGCCTGGGGGCTCCTCCTCTCTTTGGAATGCGGCCCCTTGGCGCCCCCCTGGACCGCGCACATGCCTCCAGCCGGAACATACTCGGGTACAGCCAGGACCCCAGGTAAGGGGACCCGGTTAGTGGTAGGGTTTTGGAGCCCCTAAATTCATTAGAATCACTAAACTAAACCAAGTCTGCCGTAGCTTGTGCTTTTCGGGTGACGGCAGGTCCTGTTAGTGGAACGGGGCGGGGGGGCGTCCCCCAGGACACATCACTAAACCGGGTCCCACTAAACCAGGTTCTGCCAACGCCCGACATGCGCTGGCAAGTAGCTCGCGGGCCCGAGGGTGAGGGTAGGAGCAGGACGGAGGCCTTTCGGCAGGCTCGCGGGAGTCTCAGAACAGCTTAGAGAGCTGTCTGGGATGCATTCTGTCTTGCTTGAGCTTGGAGGGCTCGCAAGGTCAGGGACCTGCACACGAGCAAGGTTTTGCGCTCGCCGAGCTTCACTTGCGCTGGCGTAGGCTCCAACACGTGTGAGTACGCGACGTGGCGGGGGCGAGGCATCTCACCCCCGCTGGGCAGCCCCCTGGGAGGGCGAGGCCTCGCTCGGGTCTGCGTAAAAAAAACCTTGCCGCTCGGCCCGCCAGAGGCGCACCCGTCGTGGCGGCGGCGGCACGCCTGGCAGCAGGGTGGGAGAGGCGGGGAGCCGACGACAGAAGCGGGTGACGCGGAGAGAGGGGGCCGAGCGTGAAGATCTTGACCTGGGGACCACTTTGGGTCAAGGAGGGATTCTCCTACTCCTCCTCCTCCTCCTCCTCCTCCTCCTCCTCCTCCTCCTCCTCCTCCTCCTCCTCCTCTCTTCCTCCTCCTCCTCCTCCTCATCGGCCTCCGTCTCCATTCTGGTTTTCGGGCCGCTCCCGGCACCTAGCTCGGGGAACCTGCTCGTGGCCTGCGGTCGCTGTTGCCGGGAGGTCACCTCGTTGCTCTCACGACTGTGTCTCGCCACTGGTGAAGAGTCGAGTTTGCCAGGGCGTTGCAAGCCTTGGCACGCAGCGATTCCTGACATTCCGCGCCTCCCCGTCAGCTCATCCAGAACACACTCCCAGGTGACAGGCAGTGAGCGAAGTCAGTGGGCACCAGTGAAAGGAACGAGGGGGGACGCCAGTCTAGCCACAGGGGGCGTCAGCCTGCTTCGCCCTCTCCCCCCACGGATGGCCAGCTCGGCACTCCTGGATGCCCCCGGACCTAGCCTGGGGCTCTCCTGGGGGGCATTCTGGGCGGCGGGGGGGCTTTATGGCAGCCAGACAGAGCGGCGGGACGCCGAAGCAGCTTTGGCCACCTCTTGTTCTCCTCGGAGCATCGGAGCTACCGACGCCCGCTCCGTGTGACCATCCTGGGGCTTGCTGGGGCTGCTCCTCGTGGCGTCTGGGGCCCTCTGGGGGGCTCTCGGTGCCCTTCTCTTCCGTCTTGGGGACGTCGTGAGATCTCAGGGAGGGGCCCACCCCGCGAATGACACCGTCGCCTCTCGCCAAACCAGTCTTTCGTTTCTGCATGTTTCTCAACGTGCTGTGTATACAGTCACTCTCACCCTATACACATACACACCGTCTTCGGTTTCGACGGTTTCGCTATGGAAAGCGTGAAGTTCCCGCACCAGAATCGATGGAGGTCTTGGGGCCTCAGTGTTGAGTTTCTTGCGGAAGGTTTCTTGTGGTCGAGCTCCTACTGTAAAACGGCCGCTAGCCCCCAGGAGTCCCGAATGTCCCGAGCGGCCCGCCAGCCAGCCATGCATACCGCGGGCGCCATGCCTTAGGACTCCTGATGTTTCCAAGTATTCCGCCAGCCTGTCAGACATCAAGGACAGCGATCAAGAGCAAACATCAAGGGTATCACGACAGGAGACTTGGCATCAAACCGTCCATGGACATCTAGATCATAGGCCAAGAACCGATATCCAGTGCATACACCAATAGTTCGCATCAATGGTGTGCATCATCCTGATACATCTGTAGCACAAGAGAGAGGTCCATCCGTAGGACCACCAGGAAGAACATGCACCACTACCACATACCACCAGCGCAAGTCAATAGTATGTATCCAGAACAGACCAAGACCACACGCATGCACGGGTACCTGGCAGCACTAGCAGGCAGCAGCAGGACATCAATACTGCACATTTGGGACACACGTTGGTACCACATCTGTATAGGAGGCCTCAATCACACACGTGTAGAACACACGTCAGTACAAGGCACCCAGAGCATGTTCAATCTTTTGCGCCAGAATCAGACATACATTACTGACTAGCAAAATACCAGACTCCATACACATACACCCTTCCAATTTAATTCGATGCACCATTGACACCGCGAAGGAAACGACAGGAGTTATCCGTAAGGGCTTCGCCCCCTGCCGCCGGCCCCCTCTCTCGGAGAATGGGCCATGGAAGAGCTAAGTCATGAGGCCTTGGCGCTGTCGTGAAGCAGTATCGAAACTTCATGCGAAGCCGATTCGCAATCAGCAAAACCAACTGATCACAAGAGGGGTTACCACACCTGGCGATTGGTAAGACGTGTATGGTTTACGGGCTTGGTTACCACACCTTGCGATTAAAGGGCCGAGGGAGTTCTCGCAGTTTGGGTTACCACGCCTTGCGATGGATGTGCGTGAAGGGTGGCACCGAATTTCAGAAATGTGGCAAATCCCTTGTGTTTTTGGACCCTGACCCCGCGGATCTGCGTAAGGGGTGGCGCCGAATTTCAGAAATGTGGCAAATCCCTTGTGTTTTTGGACCCTGACCCCGCGGATCTGCGTGAGGGGTGGCACCGAATTTCAGAAATGTGGCAAATCCCTGTGTTTTTGGACCCTGACCCCGCGGATCTGCGTGAGGGGTGGCACCGAATTTCAGAAATGTGGCAAATCCCATGTGTTTTTGGACCCTGACCCCGCGGATCTGCGTGAGGGGTGGCACCGAATTTCAGAAATGTGGCAAATCCCCTGTGTTTTTGGACCCTGACCCGCGGATCTGCGTGAGGGGTGGCACCGAATTTCAGAAATGTGGCAAATCCCATGTGTTTTTGGACCCTGACCCCGCGGATCTGCGTGAGGGGTGGCACCGAATTTCAGAAATGTGGCAAATCCTTTGTGTTTTTGGACCCTGACCCCGCGGATCTGCGTGAGGGGTGGCACCGAATTTCAGAAATGTGGCAAATCCCATGTGTTTTTGGACCCTGACCCCGCGGATCTGCGTGAGGGGTGGCACCGAATTTCAGAAATGTGGCAAATTCCATGTGTTTTTGGACCCTGACCCCGCGGATCTGCGTGAGGGGTGGCACCGAATTTCAGAAATGTGGCAAATCCCATGTGTTTTTGGACCCTGACCCCGCGGATCTGCGTGAGGGGTGGCGATTTCGAGCCCCCCCAGCAATTCAGACAACGCGCCCAGGGGACGCTAAAAAGCCGGTTTGGGCCTCCCCCCCCTCGCGCGGTCAATCAACTAGTTACAGTAACCAGCAAGAAGGAGAACAATCAACCAGTTACAGTAACCAGCAAGAAGCAGAACTGTAACACTGGAAACTACAAGCTACAACTGGTACAGGAGGCTGCGAACCCCGCGCCTACAGCCTGGTGGCCCCACAAGGGGGCCGGCGGATTATCACACATGGAGACCTTGCATGCTCGATGCTACGAGCGTGTATGAGGGACACACGCAGAGCTGTTTCTATACACGACTAGCCGCATTATTCAGCAAACCACGACACACGTGACGCCACATGCGTACACATCATTCATCAATACAGCGTACGCTGGCCATGTACAATTAGGGGGTATTTCGCTCTGCACAGTCAGACGGAGCAGCTTTCAAACCACCAGTCGCATCAGCTCTTTGGTGGGACTCGCTCGAAGATCAATCACGCTTGTGGCGACGCGTTTTCTGGACTCCATGTCCTCATCATTCGCTGCGCGCCATCCGACGGGCGCTTAACCTATCCCCATCCGTACCAGGCCATGGCATTTCAGCCTCACCATCCCACCATCCCCGTTGGGGAGGGCCCGTCGAGACCAGAAGGGAACGGCCCATGTACCTCCATTTGGGGGGGACAGCGCACGCGGCCAGTGGGGCCCAGGCCTTCCCAGTGGGGATGGGGATCGGCGGAACGGTGCTCGCTGCGCTGCGACTCCCGGGCGGCCGCCGGTCACAGCTTGGCTCCGCGCTGCGCCGCCAGAGGCGCGCAGTCGCGGCGCCAGGGCGGCGGCGGCGATGGGCGGCATCGTCGCCAAGAGGAAGAGGGGCAACGACGACAGGCCTGCGGGCGCGGCCGACGTCTGCCGCTGACGGCGCCAGGAAGGCAGGGAGCCATTCTGATTCGACCGATTCGATCCGACGTCGCTGCCCGTCGCCCGTTGTTCCTTTTTGTCGGGCCTCCTGGAGGCCCTCGCCGCCACCGCTGCGTTCGCGTCGGAGTCCTGCCTGGAACGCACCCTTGGGGGGGGTCCGGGACGCAGCGGTATCCGCACCTTCTGGTTACCCCAGATTGGATTGGATTCCGATGTTCTGGCGATCTGACGCAGCTTGGTTTTTGCATGGGCGTCGCTGGGCATTTTGGTGCGGCCGATCCGGTTCGATGCCGATTCCGTGCCGAGTTGGCCCCACTCGATGCGCGTTCCCATCCGATCCGAGGTTCCGCTTCGATGCTGACCCCCACTGGAAACATGCACAGGGGAAGTATGCCAAGCAGTGGCGAAGCGGCCTAGCTCGCCCATAGCCCTACCAGACAGTGTTCGAAGAGCCTCTTGCTCTTGTTCTTGGAACAGTCTTGGGTTCTGCGAACATGTCGTGGCAGGCCTGTAGGGATGCCGGGAGGGTCGTTCCCTGCTCGAGTCTGGGGCGCTCCAGGATGAGGGCCTCGCCCTGGGCACCTCCCGCCCCCGGCGGAGGCAGCCGCGGCGGGGTGGTTCTGCGAGCGGGAGCGGGGCGGAAGGCGGCGGAAGCAGAGGCGGTGCGCCGATAGTGTTGGATCCGGGTGCGGCCGTTACCGGAAATGCTGTTCAAGCAGTGGCGGAGCGTCCCAGCTCGCCCATAGCCCCACCAAACAACAATGTTCTAAGAACCGTTTGTGGTTTCCGCAAACTGTTCTCAGAACATGTCTGGCGGATACTGTCTTGTTTTAACACATCGGGTTGATGTTCTAAGAACATTATTTCGTTGTTAGAACATTTCTGGGTTCTGAGAACATTTCGTGGTAGGACTATAGGAATACCGGGACGGTCGGTCCCTGCTCAAATTTTGACACACACACACACATGCTCGGGCCGAACGAGAGGGGGGGATAGGGAAAGGGGGGGTACGAAATTTGCAGCTGGCGTCGGCCCCGCCGTCGAGCCCATTCCTTGATACATGGGCGCCTCCCGGCGCCGGAATGCGCCTGGAAAATCAGCTACGTGAGCTGATTCTCAACCCCCCCCTTTGCTATCCCCCCCTTTCGCCCGGCCCGACATTCTTGAGTGGAGGGGAGGAGGATGCCGATGAGGAGGAGTGTAACCACGAAGAGGGGAGAACAAGGATCAAGACGAGCAGGGGCAGAGGAGGAGCGGTGATGAGAGCCGTGGCGATCAACATGTTCTGCACGACGTCAACGGGGCCTTCATGTGCGAGATCCTCACGATGACTTGTACGATCGTTGCAAGAACGCCCTCCTTGAGCGGAGATGGAGGAGAACGTGTAGAGCAGGGTGAGGAAGATGCGGAGATGGACGAGGAGGAGGAGGAAGAGGGAGAGGCAGAATGAGGAGGAGCAGGAGGAGGACCAGAGCTACCCCTGGATGCATCAGCGAAGTTGTAACGCAGCCTCTCGTCCTAAGTCACGTCCTTATGTTCCTACAAGTACGCGCTTCCACTGTGGGAAACATCCTCCTTCAATGACGAGCCCCCCCCATGGGCCTGCCACTTAGGCGAGCCCCGTTTTGTAAAATGAGCCGCTCTCCATCCTTTTAGCTAGCCGATGTCAAAGGTGTAGGATCAATTCGGGTCATGGAGGTAAATCCAACGTCCAGCAATAGACCCGTGTTGAAAATGATATGCTTTCCTCTGTGCAATGGTTAAACAGTTTCAAAGTTCTGGTCACAAGTTCACAGTTCAAAGCACCAAGCGACAGTCCAATTCTGACACGGAGCCTCCCTTCATCCGTGCAATGTTTGCGCATGTTGGGGTTCCAGCTCCCAAAGTTCGAGGACATCGTGTGCGAAGGCCGCATGTTGGAAACGCCTGCTCCCATGCTCTGAAAACGACAAGGCGCGGCGCGCGCTAAGGGGAGGCTTGCATGCTGAACACAAACTCCCTTGCATCCGTGCGCTTCTGTTCGAATGACGGGGGTGCACACCGCGCAGGCGACAGCCCGATGTTTAAAAGGAGCCGGTATCCACCCCGTGCAAGTGCTGCACCATTTTGATTTCTGGGTCCTCGAACTCGAGGAAGTCTGACAACCGATAGCCGCATTTCCAACATGCATTGACAGTAGCGGATGGAAGTGCTCAAGAAACAGTGTGCGCATCGCTAAGGCGGCAGTTGCATGTTTCAAACTATCTGCCCCTCATCTTCGTATCCGCTGGACGTTCTCAAATCCGTCGGTCGCCATTGGAAGCGATCAAAACGAATGAGCGCGGCGATACGGCTAGAGCTACATGTTGAAAGCCATCAATCCTCGATTTGTTTATTTGCTGGTGCTCGTTTGGCCTCAGGAAGATGTACATACGTATATATGCATGTTAGTTTGTTGCATGTATGTAAGGATGGATGGATGGATCGATGGATGGATGTATGTGTATGGATGTCTGTGTTTCGGTATGTCTGTCTGTCTGTATGCCTGTCTGTATGTATGGATGCATATGCATGTATGTCGGCGGTGCGCCGTGGCACGAACCCCCCCCCCAGCACTACCGGGGGGTTTCGTGCACTACCGGGGGGTTTCGTGCAGCCCGCACCGGGTGCCGCCAGCGGCTTAGAACCCCCCCCCCCTTGCCGCTTTACCCGGGGGTTTCGTGCAGGCCGCACTGCGTCTACCTGGGCTCCCCCCCCCCCTGTGGGAGTGGGGGGGTGGGAGTGGGGGGTGGGTTGGGGGGGGGACAGGGGGGCGGTTGGGAAGGGTGGCTCCCTGTCGAAGTGTGGCGTGTGCTCGCCTTGTGTTCTCTATTCGCGTCTGCTCGCCTTTGTTCCGCCGCAGCCTCTCGTATTGTGGCTCGTGGCCACAATACGAGAGGCTGCAGCGCAACTCCCGAGAGCCGCTGTGGGGGGTCGACGGCACGGCCGCGTAGAGAAGAACAGTGCCGCCGTGTTCCAGCACGGCCCTGGGATGCAATGCCGCCGCCGTGTTCCGGCCCGTCCTGGTAAGATTCGCGCGTCGGGGCTGGGTTTCGCGCGTGCTGGGAGCGCGCCGCTTACGGAGGGGTTGCGTCCTTACCGGGGGGTTTCGTGCAGCCTACCAGAGGAGGTCGTGTTTACCGGGGGGGTTCGTGCAGGCTCGCACCGGGAATGGCGCCAGCTCGAAATCCCCCAGGAGAGATTACCGGGGGGGGGGTTCGCTCCGCACCGGGCACCGCCGACATGTATGTATGCTCGTCTATACCTACATCATATCTATTTATACAGATGTGCAATAGGTTTGACGCTTCGCGTATCCCCACCGGCACATTCAGAAACATTGGCCTGATCAAGGAAGTGTATGATGCATGAACCCCCAGAGGAACAGGCAGGTGAGTCAGTTGTGAAGCCCAAGCTCGGAACCATGAGAGGATTGTTTGAGCTTGCCGTCGAAGAATAAGAATGCGGAGGAGACTGGAGGAAGAAGGGGATGAGGGAGGATAAAGAGGAACGTGGACGGTGGCGGAGGAGCAAGAGCAGGAGGAATATGGAGGAGGCAGTGGGTGACGACGAAACGATATTAGCGATGACAAGGAGGAGCAGTACGACAACGAAGGCAGGAGTCAGCCACTATCCGAGCCTCTTTGCAGTGGAATCATGGCGGAGCCTTCTCGTGGCCATCTTGGGAGCTTGGTCCCTCCTTGGAGCCTTCTTGGGGCCCTCCTTGGAGCTCTCTTGGACATCTCGGTGCCCTCTTGGACATTTCGGGGCCCTCTTGGAGCCCCTTTGGAACCTCGAGCCCTCCTGCGCTCCTGCGGCCACCTCGCAGGACGTCGACGAGCGAAAGTGAGGAGCTCAAGTAGCCTCGCCCCGCGTGGCCCGGAAATTCGCTTCTTGGGGCTCTGCTCTGGGGGCTTTTGGGTCGGACTTGAGGATGAGGAGGATGAGGAGGAGGAGGAGGAGGAGGAGGAGGAGGAGGAGTACACGGAGGAGGAGGAGGAGGAGGAGGAGGAGGAGGAGAGGAGAAGAAGAGCAGGGAGGAGGAGGACGAGGAGGAGGAGGGGGAGGGGGAGGGAGGAGGAGGAGGAGGAGGAGGAGGAGGAGGAGGAGGAGGAGGAGGAGGAGGAGGAAATTATCTCGGGGCAGTCTAGGGGTCCTTTTGGGCCCTTTCGAGGCTCTCTGGTGCTCTTGGGGCCGCCTGGAGGCATCAGAACCCCATTGGAAGCGAAAAGGCGATGAAGCACAAAGCGGAACGCCAGGTCCTGCCCAAGGACGCGTCTGATGGTGCGACAGGTTGGGAGGGGGGGAGTCATTTCTAAGGAAGAGGGATAAGCAGGGGGATGGAGGAGGAGGAGGAGGACGCAGAGAAAGATGAGGGAGGACTGAGGGAGGACTGAGGGGAGAGCGATCATTCTGAGGATGGAGGAGGTTGGGTCGAGGATCGGTCGGGTCGACCAGGCATGGTCCGCGTTGACCGTCCCCGTGGAGAGATTGGAGTCTTTTCCTTCCCGCGACATGCCTCCTCTTCCCTTTCCACCTCGCTCGCCCCATCCCTGGCATCTCAACGACATGTATCCTCTTCCGTTTCCAGCTCGCCCCTCCCCATCCTTCCCATCTCGGCGTGACGAATCGGAATCCCACTTCTCCCCGTTCGCCTGATAAGCTCCCTCGCCTCCTGCGCTTCGCGAGGGATTGGGAAGACATACCCCTGGAGCGCTTCGATGAGGACTGCCATTAGCAAGTCATCCTCATATACCTCACCAGCTGTCTCCTCGTTTTACTCCCTCTGATGTTTTGTTGTTTGCCAGTGCCTCTCTCGCTCTGGCTCGCTTATCAGTGCCATCCCAGCGTTTCGTCGAATATGCTCGTTCTCTTCCAGCCCGTTTTTGTCTTGATGCTTCTCTCCCAGTGCACGTATGACTGCACCTATTCAGGAGAGCGACGAAGACGCGGAGTTCGACGCGGCCATTAAGAAGGCTGCCAAGGCACTCCCTTTCTTCCTTCGGGCCCCTCTGTCACCGTTCTTCTTTCGGGCCCCTCTGTCTTCACGCAATTGCCGACGGCGTCTGCGGCGAACCACCGCCGCCCCCGCCTTTTGGACACGCCCATGTGGCCAAACGCCGCGCCAACGTCTGGCAAAGGTCTGGGGTCATGTGTTGCCCCAGGCGTTGCGGAAAGTTAGGTGGGGAGCACTTGGGGTAAGCAGACAGAAGGACATACACCTATACCTGTAGAGAGAGGGAGATGGAACGTTCCATAGCTGCAGAAGTATGCATACCGTTGTGTGCAGACGCATGTATATAGTATATGTATATGTATCGCATAGGCATACATCTATATATATATATATGTACGCACGTACGTACACATGTATGCATGCATGCATGCATGTATGTATGTATGTATGTATGTATGTATGTATGTATGTACGTGTGTGTGTACGAATGTATGTGTGTATGCATGTGTGTATGTAGGTACGTGCGTACGCACGTATGTATGTATGCATGTATTTATGTATGTATGTATGGATTGATATATGTATGCATGTATGCATGTATGCATGTATGTATATATGTATGCATGTACGTATGTATGTATGTATGTATGTGTGTATGTATGCATGTATGCATGTAGGTATATATGCATGTATGCGTGTATGCATATATCCATATATGCATGTATGTATGTATGCATGTATGCATGTATTCATGTATGTATATGTATATGCAGATGTATGTGTGTGTTTGATTGTATGTACGTGTGTACGTATGTATGTAGGTATGTATGTAAGCTTGTATGTATGTCTGTATGTGTGTATGCATGTACGTACGTATGTACGTATGTATGCGTGTATGTATGTGTGTATGTATACATGTATGTATGTATGTATGCATGACTGTATGTATGCATGTATGCATGTATGTATATATGTATGCGTTTATATAATACACATCTATATCGTCTTTCGGCCCATCCTGCCACCGTGTTTGGGTTGTGGGGGTCTTTGCCTCTTGGGGCCCTGTTGGGAGGCCTCTTGGAGGTCTCTTGGGGGCCTCCTGGGGCCCTTGGGGACCTCTTGGGGGCCTCTTGGGGCCTTTTAGGGGGCTTCTTGGGGTCGCGGGCTCGAAGTGTCAGTTGGGGGACCCTGCCTGGGCCACTTGTGGGAGCCCTTTTGGAGACTTCCTTGGGCTGTCTGGGAGGCCTTTTGGAGCGTCTTGGGACCCTCTTGGGCTGTCTTGGGGCCGTCTTGGGGGCTTCTTGGGCCTCCTTGGGGCGATCTTGGGGCCCTCGTGGAAATCAATGACTTTTGCCTCTCGCGGCCCTCGTGGGGGTGCTGTTGGAGCCTGTGGGGCCGTGTCGGAGGTGTCTGGGGCCGTCTCGAGGCTATTGACAAAGTCTTTGAGCGATGTTTCGGCGAGTCGGGGTTCCCTTGAACCGTTCAGGGCGGGCACAGCGTCCAGAGGACTTGCAGGAAACATCCCAGAACTACCGGGAGGCAATCCGGGAAACCCCGGGACGCCCTAAGATGTCCCAGGGCGGCCTTGGAAACGGATGGTGCGGGTCCTGAAAGACAGCAGCAGCAGCAGTCTCTATCTCTCAGTGTTGCATGAGCTTAGGGGCACTCCATTTTGTGCCAGAGTGGCGCACCACATGAGCCTAGAGCCACGGTGGCGTCTACACACATATATATATATATATACATACATCAGAGTGAGGGTGGTGAACCAAACGGTCATTCACTGTCCCTGGGTACGTGGCTGAAGTGGAATTCCGCGATGCGGAGTCTTGTTGTTGTGATTGTTGTGAGTGTTGTTGTTTTTGTTGTTGTTGTTGTGGTTGTGGTTAAGGTTATTGTTGGTGTTGTTGTTGTTGTTGCTGTTGGTTGTTGTTGTTGTTGTCGTCGTTGTCGTTGTTGTTGTTGTTGTTGCTGTTGTTGTTGTTGTTGTTGTTGTTGTTTGTTGTTGTTCATTGCTGCTGTTGTTGGTGGTGTTGGTGTTCGTGTTGTTGTTGTTGCTGCTGTTGTTGTTGTTGTTGTTGTTGTTGTTGGTGTTGTTGTTGTGTGTTGTATGTTGATTGTTGCGTGTCGTTGGTGTTATCGTTGTTGTTGTTGTTGATGATGATGATGTTGTTGTTGTTGTAATCTCATTGCTGAAGAATAATTATTGTTGATCCCCCCACCAGTGTATACTGTTTTTTTCTCAATCAAAGTGTGCCCCGCGACGCTCGCACCCGGTGTTTTTGACAGGGAAAGTCTTCATGCTCAAACTGGGCCCCTGGCCCCCAGGTTACAACAACAACGGCTCCCGCCTGAGACCTCCTTACAATTTAGCCAGGATCCCCGCTCCCGCCCGAGACTTCCTCGCATTTTATTCAGGAATCGCGGCGCTCTCGCTTGGGACTTCCTTACAGTTTATTCAGGAATCGCTCTCCCGGCGCTCTGGAGTCGCGCTCTCGCTGGAGACTTGCTTGCAACTTACTGGAGAATGATCTTGCGTTGGAATTTCCTGCAATTTGCCCAAGCGCCGCGCTCCCGACACCCAGGCACCCAGGAGTCGCGCCCGTTGTGGCCCCATGTGCATGCCCTTCGTGGCCCCGCTGTCGCCATTTGTGTCCCTCTCACTGTCCTACGTGGCCCAGTTGCTGCCCTCATTGGCCCCATAGTTGCCTTCTGTGGCCCCGCATTGTCTGCACTTCGTGGCCCCCGCTCGTTCGCGCTCTTCGTGGCCCCATACGCATTCCCTTCGTGTCCCCGCTGTCGCCCTTCGTGGCCTACTTCGTGCCCTTCGTGGCCCTGCTGTCGTTCTCTCTCGCTCTCGCTTTCGCTCGTCTTCGCCGTCGTCGTCGTCGCCGTCGTCTTCGACGTCGTCGTCGTCGACGTCGTGGTCGGTCCCCTGTCCGTCCCTCTTGGGGTCGGGTCGACGGTCCGCGGCCGCCCCGCCGATCAGCGCTGCCGCTGGCCAGGCCGACGGTCCGCGGCCGCTCCGCAGCTTGCCGGGGCCCGGCCTGCAGGGAAGAAAGATATACCCCCCAAAAGGGGTTCGATCGAAGACGAAGAGGGCGGGTATCAAGGGTTTGGGAGATATCCGTTATTGGACACTCGAGCATACAAGGGCGAACATTATTAACCTTATTATTGCTATTGCTGTTGCTGTTGCTGTTGCGATTGCTGTTGCTGTTGCTGTTGCTGTTGCTGTTGCTGTTGTTGTTGTTGTTGTTGTTGTGGTTGTGGTTGTGGTTGTTGTTGTTGTTGAATATTATTACTTCTAAAGAATAATTATTGTTGGGCCCCCTGGTGCACGCCCCCCTCGCCGCGCCTAGGCCGCAGCCGCATTTTCATCATTTTCGTGAGGAAGTCTCAGGCAAAACGGGGGAGTCCGGATCCGGTTGTTTTGTTGACGCCCGCTTTCCCTGTCAAAAACAATATAAAATGACATGTCTTGTTCTAACATAACCAAACTTCAAGAATCCTTTGCAAAAAATGACACGAAGTGCACACTCGCGCGCGCAAGATGAAATCCTTCCAAAACCTTAGTTTTCGTAGCGATTTTAACATAAAAACATGAAAAAACCAATGGTTTTTCAAAAAAAAAGTTTCAAAATTTCATCCCGCGCGCTCTTGCGGATTCGTAGGAAACCCAACACTTTTTAAACATTTCTGTCAAACGGGCTTTTGCGAGCAACTTTTTCGAACTTCTGCAACAACGGTTGCGCACCTGCCAGGGCCATCATCCCTGTCAAATAATACCATGCGGGACACATTCGTTTTTTCTTCGCGCGCGCACGCCGTCGTCGTCGGCCGCGGGGCCCTGAATAGTAGCCACGGTCGTCCGCATGCCACGAAGTGAAGTGTCCGAACGTCATAGGGCGGGAAGCTGGGTGTGGGTGGTGGCGAAGAGTCGTTTGGAAATTTGGTAGAGCTTGAACCGGCCCCCCCACAAAGTGGGGGCATTGCCCGCCTCCTATGAAAACCCTGGCACTGGTGAGAAAGGAGTGTCCCCACGTGCTAGTAATTGTTGTTGTTGTTGTTGTTGTTGTTGTTGTTGTTGTTGTTGGTTGTTGGTTGTTGGTTGTTGGTTGTTGTTGTTGTTGTCGTCGTCCCACCCGCGACCCACCCGCGACCCACCCGCGACCCACACCGTGACCCACCCGCGACCCACCCGCGACCCGCCCCGCAACCCACCCGCGACCCACCCGCGACCCACCCCGCGACCCACCCGCGACCCGCCCCGCGACCCACCACGCGACCCGCCCGCGACCCACCCGCGACCCACCACGCGACCCGCCCGCGACCCACCCCTCGACCCACCCGCGACCCAGCCGCGACCCAGCCGCGACCCAGCCGCGACCCACCGCGACCCACCCGCGACCCACCCCGCGACCCACCCAAAATTTTCGGCGCCTGCGGCGTTTTTTTTTTGCATTCGTTCCAGGTGGAGAACCTGCGACCCACCCGCGACCCAAACCACGTTCAGTGTACAAATCAAAGTTTTCGTTGCCTGCGGCGGGCTGTTTTTGAATTCCTTCCTGGTGGAGTGGAGAGCCCGCGACCCACCCGCGACCCAAACTGCGTTCACGGAGCAAGCTAAAATTTCGGCGCTTGCGGCGGGTTTCTTTTGCATCGGCGACCAACCCCGAGACCCACCCGCGACCCACCCCGCGACCCACCCGCGACCCACCCGCGAACCGCCCGCGACCCACCGCGACCCACCCGCGACCCAGTCGCGACCCACCTCAAAGTTTCGGCGCTTGCGGCGGGCTTGTTTTGCATGCGTTCTTGGTGGAGAACCTGCGACCCACCCGCGACCAAAACCGCGTTCAGTGTACAAGTCAAAATGTTCGGCGCCTGCGGCGGGCTGTTTCGACGCCCGCGTCGCCCGCGCCCGCCCCCTCACTCTTATCCGCAATTGCGGGGGGTACATACATACATACATACATACATACATACATACATACATACATACAGACAGACAGACAGACAGACAGA